CTGCGGCCTTTCCAAGGCCCGTTTCTCTGATTTCCTGGCAGCGTACCTATTTCATGGGAAACATTCCGCTCAGAGAAGCACAAAGCCTCTTCTAAAGTTCCCTTTGGAGCCCTTCCTCATTCATGTTCCCTAGTTTCCTACTAGTTTAAATTTTTATTTTTATTTTAGATACTCTATAGCCTGTTGTACTGTATTTTAGAATACAAATATTTTCCAAAATGTACAGAGAGAGAGAGGGGGGAGACATTTATTTTGTAACTCTAGGTAAGCCTTACTTCTTAAAGGTGTTTCAAAGGACTCGCACTTGTCCTCACATAGTTTCGAATACTGTTTACTGTTTGTATACTGCATTTGTAAAGCATTTTATGCTTAGAGTAATAACTGTATGTATGTCAGCCCTCCCTTCCTCATCTCTAAATATCTGTGTATCACAGAGCTCCTTTACATCAGGTCCATTATTAGAGAGCTAAAGTATTTTTATACTTTTTTTAAATTGATTTTTAGAGAGAAGAAGGGAAATAAGGGTTTTCACAAAGTATAAATTGTGAGTAACAAAATGAAACTTTACAGTCACTTACCTGTGATGATAACAGTAGCATCTAAGGTAAAAGTGCCCTCTCTTCCCCTCAGGGATTCCCTGTTGAGCCAGTTTGGAAGCACTGGTTTAGCCAGCCTCACAAAAGAATGGGCATCATATTACATCACATATGCAGAGCCTAAAAATTTTCTCCCTGAAGCAATGCCACATAGGAAGAAAGTCTGTTATAACGCGGCTAGTCTGTAACATGGGTTTCCGTCCTGGCATATAAAGTCAGCTCTTGATTCCCAGCCCCGCCGTGGGAGCCGTCCTACTGTTGGATGTGAGGAGGTGAAGGTAAGCCAAGATTTCTGAGAGCACATACATGTGCCTCTCTGTATGAAAAAGTTTATGTTCATGTCCATTAAGTGTATTATGTGGTTAAATGCTTTGCAAATCTGGAATCTAAATAGTAAACAGGCTGGGTAATGTCGATGGGACAAACATTGCAAAACCAATCCAAATACAGGAACTAGGCTTCAAGAAAACAAGTTTTGCACAAAAGCAGCAGATGAAAATTTCCAAAACACCCACTTACACATTTTTGCCCCAAAGTGAGTATAAACAGATTAAGAAATTCCATATTTTAGGGAACTAGAAATCCTTTTAGGGAACTTGTAATGAACTCTAATATGAATGAAGAGTTCCAAAGTGTATTTTATTTTTATTTATTTATTTTAATCCTCACCTGAGAATATTTTTTCCATTGCTTTTCAGAGAGAGTGGGAGAGAGAGAGAGAGAGGGAGAGAGAAACATTGATGTGAGAGAGACACATCGATTGGTTGCCTCCCGCACATGCCCTGACCAGGGCGGTGGATCGAGCCTGCAACCGAGGTGCGTGCCCTTGACTGGAATCAAACCTGGGACCCTTCAGTCCACGGGCTGATGCTCTAACCACTAAGGAAAACCAGCCAGGGCTCAAAGTGTATCTTAGATGAATCCTTTTGATTCTCTAAAAAAATACATTTTGCAGAAAATAAGCATATTCCCATAAAAGCAGAGAAATCAACCTTGAAAATAAAAACACAGAGAACACACTACTTCCACGGGTAAGTTACTTAACTGCTCTGTGCCTCAGTCTACTCATATCTATATATGAAATAATGCACTTAGCAGGCACACAGAAAGCACTCGATAAATGGAAATTTGTTTTTGACTTTGTCTCTTCTTTGGTAATTCAGGATACAATTAATACCAATTATGAGGAGAGGATATCCCACAAACTCTGGGAAGTTTCTTGGTATTAGGAGCTGCTCTGAAGATTTGCCTGGAAGAGATGCAGAAACTGTTCCTACTACTTGGAGCAAACAGAGGTGTTGACAGCTCTGGTCAAACTTAAGGGCTCCACCGTGAAGGAAAGACTGCTTCTGATGACAGCGACTTTGGAACTTGAGTACGTGTTTCTCATTTTAGTTTAATGAGAAATAACTGGGATGTATGCAATGAAATAGCTCACACCCCAGTGCCAATCTCACACCAGGGAAGCGTGCCGACCACGGCTAGGTCATTAGTAATGATGGTGCTTCATCTCAGGGTGCAGGAATGCCCGCCACACCTGCCCAAGGCTGCAGCATGAGCTTTAAACAAAAATCTTTTCTGTAGGAATGAGGTGGGCTCTTTTTTGTTTGCTTGTTGGTGGAAAGTTAAATGTTGATGAAGAAAACGCAGCCTGCTTCCAAGAAAAGGGCACCTGGCTCCAAACCCTTTCCACTGCTCCTCGCCCCAGCCCACCACATTCTATGTTTTTCTAAATACTTTCTCTGCCAAGGCCTTGCCTTGGTGTTTGGAAAGTGGTTTCGAATAAATGGCACTTGCACCACTAGCTAGAGGTTCCTCCTGCCAAACAAGGCAGAAGGAAACTGTCAGGACTTCTGAGAGTGCCACACTATAAACTGCCATCTGTTGTTGGTTGCCGGGAGAGGGTGGGTAGGGGTAGGGGGTAGATAGGAGAAATGGGTGAAGGGGGGAAAAAAATACAAACTTCCGGCTATAAAATAAACAAGTCCTGGGGTGTAACGTACAGCATGGTGACTACAGTTAATGATAATGTATCTGTATTTGGAAGTTGCTAAAAGCAGATCTTAAAAGTTCTCACCACAAGAAAAAAAAATTATAACTATGTGTGATAATGGATAACTAACTAGACTTACTGAGGTGATCGTTTAGCTATATGTCCGTATATCGAATCATTATGCTTTGCGCCTAAAACTAATACAATGTTACAGGCCAGTTATCCGTCCAGAAAGTAAAGAAACGGCCTTAGACTGCGCCCTCCCTCCCTCGGCTCCAGCAGCGTCCAGGAGCGCGCGGCCCCGAGCTGCTCGGCGCGGGCCGGACTCCAGCGCCGCAGGCCTCGGGGGCATCCTGGGCAGAAGCCGAGCTGCCCCGGCCCGCGCGGGCATCTCCCGCCGCGTTACTGGTCCGCGCCCAACAGGAAGCCCCGAAGGGGAACTTTGCCATGTGCAGCCTCTTAAAAAAGTTGGACTCAAGACTGAGCAGTGCCCGCAGGGCCCGAAAACACCCGTTGGAGTCCTGGCGGCTTCCAGGGCTCCCCCGGGTTTAACACTCGAAGAGCGGACGCTGCACTCGCCCCGGCTCCAGCGGACCAGCGCCCTCCCTCAGGGCTCAGCCTGGTACCAGAGGCTGATTCTCGCGCCTCCACTCCCCCTATTGCCTCGCTCTCCTAATCTGCAGCCCGGAGGCAAGTTCAGCACAGTCCTCGCCTAAAGAGCCACCTCGCGCCCCTGACAGCGCAGGTTCGGTCCACAGGGAGCGAGTTTCCCCGGGTGTGGCCTGCCCGGGCCAGACCCCACGGCGTCCAGGCGCCTCTCCTCCGCTCCCGTTTCTGGTGTCGCTGGGGCGTCTCAAGTGCATCCCAGCCACT